CAGATCTGAGCCTAAAGAACAGGCCTGGGCTGTATTCTTAAGGAGGAATTTGTTTCACTAGTTCCCACCCTTAAGATAAACCAACCATCATGGGAAAGATAAAAAACTGCTATGTAAATAAAAGCAATAAGTAAACAGGCTCTACATGAAATGTACTGTTTCTTTGAGCTATAAAGGTTCAACAACAATGTTGAAAATGCAGACTAAATTACAGTGACGTGCCAGGGCTGTATGATTTGCCTGAGACTGGCCTTTGAACTGGTGTGATTACATGTTAACAGTGTGGTTCCAGACAGGCCGAGATTATACTGTTAACGAAACAATGACTTTCAGTTTCTGTCTCAGTCAATCCTCCATGGAGCATGATTCAACATCACATTCTTTCAGTGATTTACAAGAAAATGTATGGTACTTCACGGTATTGTAAGCACAGTTCTCGTGCATTTATCACAATTTTGTCAGTTTAGCAGCTTCCTGTTTTCTTTATGTGGTTAGAGCTTATATTCACAGTATTAAAAAACATGTTAGGACAGCTTAGGCTATATTTCTCATAAGCCGAGGTTCCTCCTCACTTTTTATTTTCCATAATTTTAAAAAAGAATGCTCATTTTGACAAGAGGTATTGTCACTTTTGTCATACACTTATGCACATACATGCAATGTGCAACCACACTGCATGAACCAGAGTTATGAGCATAATGTCTGATGGAGTGAAAGATTCAAACTTTATAACTTTGTTATGCATGCAATATCAAATGTAAATATTTATGACTGACTGAAAACTAGGGATGTGAATTAACATCTATTGGCAACTGCTTGGGTAACTACTGGTCTCCAGAAGATAGTCATCTTGCATGTATAGAGAGGGTGTATGCACTGATAGGCTCAGTGCTCACTGTCAACACTAAAATGGAATTCTATTTAATTTCATCCATTCATTCAGTTCATTGTTTGTTATAGCTGCTGGCGATAATGCTTTACTATACTTGACGAGAAGCACCTGCCTGCACTGTTCAGTTTACTGTTACTCTCCTACATGAAGAAAAACAGCAGCAACCTCTTGTGGGAAAAATTTAAAACAGCACGGTACACACTAGACCAGAGATTCTCAAATGTACTTAAACGTTAAGTGTGTAACATTTGGAAATGCAATACAATTTGTACACGTGTTTTCTTCAGTGTATAATCACCTGAAAATGAGATGGTCATGTTTTTGTTACGTCAGAATGAGCGCTTTATATCTAGAGACATTACAGGTCGCCTTCCGTGGAGTCCGCCATATTGAACCGCCATGTTTCCACAGTAGCCCAGAAGGGACAAACCAAGCACTGGCTCTAAATAAGGCTGTTTGTTTCTTCACACGTTTCACAGCCACTGTAGTTTCTATTTCGTGCTTGGAAGGGCAGGGTGAAGTGAGGGAGTTGCAATCAGCAACTAAGCTCCTAGGTGCCACTAAATCATACACACTGGTCCTTTAATGTCAAGAACCACCACATAAATATGAGGTTATCCAAGAAGCCCGTTTGACAACCTTTATCCAAAGAGGCCAACATATTTATTGCCATAATAAAGCCAGGAATGCAAAGGAGAATATAACCTACTGCAGCCTGGATAATAAATGGATGAGGCCTACAGCAAGGTAGTCATAATGTAATTCACTCACTGGACAACAACCGTTTGAGCCACATGTTAAATATGAAATATTATCCAAACAAACAAATCCTCATTTAGCTCACGGTCAGATTAACCTGCAAGGAGGCCGAGGGGCAAGAACTAATTTTAGGACCTGAATAACACCCCAGTCCTCCCACTATCTGTGGGCTATGTGCTTGTCACGTTCAAGTGCCCACAGCAGGCTACAAAGCACACCGTAATCATATTTGCCATATAAGTAATCCTATGCTAGAATACGAGCTAATACTACCTTGTTTTTATTTAGAAATATGCCCCATGTAAGCACAAAGTCAACAATACATAATAAATGTCTTAAAACTGTATTTTATGACAGGATCCCTCTACAATATAGGGCCTTACAGTTTTACACAGTGAAACGTGTGGTCAGACAGTTCCTGTCTTTATCCAGAACTGCTTTTAGACATCACTGCCAGGGTCAGGCCTTTATAGGTCAGGCCAGGAAGAGAGGCTTACACATGGAAACCTGACAGACAAATACATAAGATGCATTGATGTTAAGGCATAGAGTCAAAAGGAAAACAAAGAATTATAAACTTTGAATCATTTGTTAAGGCCCTTAAGGGGTCTTAAATAGCAAGTAGGTTAGTACATGTGTTTACATGCAACAACTGGGAAATGTATGGCATTTCCTAAATAAGGTTATTTTTTGTCATTTGAAAGCTTTCACATGTGTCTCTGTCGACAGTGAAGGCTGATATTTGCATAATTCAGTCTGTTGGCGAGTTAGCTTAAATTTAAGTCATGCTAACTAAATAAATAGGCATGAGTTTGAGTTTCTGCCCAAGACGACACGCTGCTGAACGGGGACAACTCCCGCTGTCACACCGTGGAAACACTTCGCCGGTCCATTTACCAGATGTTTCGACAATAAAACATTATTACTCTGGAGACACCCCACATAAAAACGCAGCTATGTGTTATATAAATCACTATATATTCGGTCACCTTTGTCAGTCCCCACTGTACCGTTTGGTGTCCAGACTGCAGACGATGATCAGTGAACTTTACAAGTGGCCGACTGGTAACGAGCCCTGCAGTCCCCAAGATGGCGCCCTAGTTAGACTTTAGTGCTCAGGCAGTCCTTGAGCAGCCTTCAACTGTTCCCTGGATACATAATACATGTAAATATTGTTTTTATGAGGCTTTTTATCATTGTTTTTTCTTAGTGCACACGCTGTAGACTGCTTCCGGTCACTTGCTGTGCTGTACACAGTATCACAGTGTTATTATCTGAACTGCCCTGCAGACAGTTGTGTGAAGCAAAGTGTTTCTTTATCCATTGCCTGAGACTTTTTGTGATCAGTCACAGGGGACCACTTATACAGAAGTCTTTCTGTATATACAGAAGTCTTTCTATATAAGTAATAATTAGACGTGGGCCTATGGTTTACTTACTTGTGGTTTCTGAGGTTCTCCAAAGGTTAGAAACACATTATCGTCATGTAACCATTTAGGGCATTTTAAAAGAGTAACGTGTCTTTTATTATTTTCCACAAACTATATATTATATGCTTATGGATCAGAGTCAGATTGGTTACTGAAAAGAAAAAAATGCCAAAGAAACCCTTACACAAATTACACTGTTACACCAGCAACTGATAAGCCAATCAATGTTTTTCTGAACTTTAAACTTGTAAAAAAGACTTGTAAACAAAATATCATATAATATCATGTAATGTACACAGCGCCACTGGTTAAATACACATTTGATATTATAAGTGGAGATGGTTTTTGTGCTTTATTGCATGTGTGTGGAGGTTGAGAAGTTGGGGGATGGGAATGGGCTTGGAGCAAAGAAAGGCATGCTGTTAGCTGTTTGCAGGTAAACCAATCTGAATACATTAATGATTATGGGGCTATCTCCTGTCCTTTCAAACTGTTATCTCCTGTCCTTTCAAAGTAGAGAGGCCAAGCAGGGAGGGGGGATGGGATAAAGTGTCTCACACTCACTGAGGGGGGAGGTCAGTTTGCCATGTTTTGTGGGGGAAGGGGCACAAACAGAGGGCCACTGGGCCCCTCTTTGGGTCTCCGTGGAATGTAATTGAGGCTCTGTCACTCAGGCAGACATACAAACAGACCAAAAACACACACAACAAAAATGGCTTTTACTTTTGGTGATTTCATCATGTCATGAACCATTAAAAATCCTCTAGTATAGCAAAAATGCTGCATAGATCTGAACTGAGCTATGTGTAACCATGTTTTGCATCAATATTGTGAATAATTGTAAGAATCCATATGTACTAGATGTTTAACACTTCAGGGAGTCTCTAGTATCTATCTCAGTCTATGTCTTGACAAGCTAAGCTAAGTCGGAGTAAATTTTGTGAATTGGTAGAATAACAACACAGTGCTGTGACAGTGGTATTGAACTTCACTGCCTTCTCAGCAGCCAAACAGACAAGGATCTATCCTGCACACACTCACCTTAATTTTTACTTCCTCAAAGTTTTGATGCTGATGGCAGAGAGAATTATGTTCAGACAGGAAAGAGAAAGTATAAGCTAATTACCCAGGTCTGAACGCTTCCTCTTCTCTTCTTTACCGTCTTCACCCATATCCCTCCATGTTTGACCCTTACCTCTCTTCTTCCACGGTAGTAAAAATTCAACACTAGTGTGCCTGAGTGGTCGCTCCACACTCACTCCAATTGACAGGCCTATGACTGACACTGGAGCCAGAATCTGTGAGGTATCAGGCTGCACATCTATCCGTGTATGTGAGCGGGCGGCCACTTTATAGTGCAAGGTACTAGAAAGCCAAATCTGATGCAGTGGATGGATTGTTGTGTTGAGCAATATAGAGACCATAGAGCATGAGTGTGAACTGATAATTGGCAATTATATGTATTCCTTCTTAATACAGGCTACATTACATATCATACTCGATCCCTAAAGTCCAATAGAAACCATGTTTGAAAAAAGGACCACCTTTCTACACTATGCTTCATTATAAGTCAGTCCTTATACAATACATGTTTCTTTTAAATAAATTCCAAATGTTGAATATTTAAAAAATAACCTCCAGTTATTTAGATTTTGTGAAAATATTCATTTGGAATTTGGTGTACAGTGAATACATAGAAATATAATTCTCTATGGGTATGATAAGTCATTTGCATAAAGCTGCTTTTCTGCCAGCCTATAAATACATTTTTAAATCTCTCCCCTAATAATATCAGTGACTGCTGCTCACATCACCTATGGGTAGTGGTGTCCGTGTAGTTCGCTTGCAGAACGTGTCAACCAGTTTAATGCGGCTCGACAGGGAAAGCGACTCCATTACCCAGAAGCCCCGTCGCTCTGCTACAAGCTGGCTCCCTCCGCTCTGGGAGTGTTTCGCATTTAAACAAACACGGTCCTGCCGAAGATGGCGGAGAGTTTGTAGAGGCGTAAAAGAAACTGCTCCACTCAATGAAAGCATCGAAGCCGGTGAGTTTTCCTCGGTTGGTTCATGTTTCCGTTAAAGCCAAGTTTTAAACTAACGCTCGTGTGTGTTTGAAAGCGCACATTTGTCACAGAGGCACTTGGTGTTGGTCCGCTTCCGAGCAGGCTGTGGTTTGGTTTTTAAGCTACCGTGATACAATGAGCCACCTTACCGCTGTCTATTTGTTATGGAATGTTTGTTATGATAGTATTGGCTCGGAAACTATAAATAATGTGATAATTTACGACAAGCCTGGTTTGCTATTGTGCCGTTATTATCGGTGTTTGTTGGTGTTTCCATTATCCGCTAGCTACAAAGTTTACGAGATACAGGCTCTCTGATTCGCTGGGTTGCAATAGGCTAGCTGTTAATACTGCATATGAGTGAACTCGTTTGTGTTTCAAAATGTTAATGTTAACTATGCAGCACCACTAGGCTGTGTTCATTGTCCACAACACAGCCGGATAGCTTTGGACTCTCTGTTTTCTTTGTAGACTGTGTGACTTGCTGTGCAGGAATTGTCCACAGCTAACGTGAGTTACACCGCAGTAGTTGTCTGTGGCAGCACAGTGAAGATAAAATTATCTATTGCTCCTTTGTTACGGTTGTGTAGCCTCCACCATGAGTGTAAACTCATTTTAAACACGGTGTAATGGACCTACATTTTGTTTGTGGAATAGTTTTTTTTGACAGAGAAAATGCAACACCATCTAACAAACAACAACAAACTAATGTAACTGACTTTAAGTCATATGTTATTAGAGAAACACATATTGCTTATTACTTTTATTTTCTTGGTGGTTGTT